ACTTGAGAGGAGCTCATTTTCAACATGGCGATGCTATGCATGTGAAGCTTGCTGTGAGGACTTGAAGTTTAAACAAAGAAGATAGAGTTGTCGTGTAGAAAACAAGGAGTGTTTTGCAACTTTGGTTGTCTTGCTTTTTATTTGAACTCATAAGTATTTTATAGTAAATTTGCTTCCTCTAAACTTGCTCTCATGGATGTAGGCTTGATGCCTAACCATGTAAAAATGAGTGTGTCCTTTACTTGCTTTGATGTATGTCTTGTTTATGTCTCTCACACTCATTTGATATAAAAATTGAACAAGCAACCCATTCCGCATAAGTTTTAATCACGGTAACCACCTTAAAACTTATACATTGTTTTAACAGTCATTACTGTAATTAGACAAGAAGAGAAATGAAGTAATCTTGAGGATGATAATACCGAAATACAAAAAGTTTCTTGCCAAAAAGCTCTAAACATGCTTGGAAGCTAGAAATATTTTAGCTTTGACAAGAAGGTATTCATGCTAACGAGTTAAGTTAAAAGATGTGGTAATAAAACTAAAACATAAATCATTATCCCAAATAACTTTAGATAAATATTTTATTTCATCTTAAACTTTTAATGTAGTATAACATATATTTTTTGTGTAATATACAGACAATTATTATTATGTGGAGGCAACTTTTCTAAGATGAAAATTCAAACAATTATAACTTATTATAATGTTACTAGGGGTGAGCAACGGTAGAGGGTAGAACCGGAACTAGGGTAAGAACCGAAACCAGAACCGAAACCTACCCAGAACCTGCACTGTGCGGGTAGGTTCCGGTTCCAATTTTTTGGAACCGTTACTGTGCGGTTCTGGTTCCAGTTCTTGCATGTGGAGGAACCGGAACCTGTAAAAAGGGTACCATGTTTGGAACCTGTAGGGGGTACCCTATTTGGAACCTATTTTGGAACCTGTTTGGAACCTGTTTTGGAACCTGTTTGGAACCTGTTTTGGAACCTGTTTTGGAACCTGTTTGGAACCTGTTTTGGAACCTGTTTTGGAACCTGTTTGGAACCTGTTTGGAACCTGTTTTGGAACTATTTGGAACCTGTTTGGCACCTGTTTTAGAACCTGTTTGAAACCTGTTTTGAAACCTATTTGGAACATGCTTTGGAACCTGTTTTGGAACCTGTTTGGAACCTGTTTTGGAACCTGTTTTTAGAACCTGTTTAGAACCTATTTTGGANACTTGGTAACCTCATTAAAACTTACAGTTTACATTCTTTTCTTTGTTCTTAATTTTGTCTTACTATCAATGTTTCTAGGTTGTATTCAATATTTGCAAATATTCAATATAGAGGAATTCAGAGTATATTTAGATTATGTTATGTGTTGCTTAAGTTTTGGGTTGATTTTGTCTGGGTTCTTATCATACACCTTGTCTAGAGCGTTAGTATTAGCGTCATAGTTATAGTCGACCTTCTCATGAACCCACAATGTCACAACATCGATGCCTGAAAGGTCACCACTGCTCCATGCAAGGTTCTCGCCATAAGGACCCCTGGAGCAGCGGCGAATCCAGCCCCTCTAGGCCTACCCTCAGATTTAAAATAAAAATAATAATAATATATTGACCCATAAAAAATTGTTATTAATATATATACTAGGCCCACCCTAAGATTTTTAAAAAATGAGAACTATATATATATTTTAAGCTCACATGATATTAAAAATTTAAAATTCTCTCCACTCTTTTTCTCCACAGCTTTACTTGTTTTTTATGATTTTATCCCAAAATTCTTTACTCTCTCATTCTCACTTTCTCTTTCTTATGCTATAAACTTTTGAAGACTGAAATTATTAAAGCTTTCACTACTCAAGGTACCGGAATTATCTTCGATTTCTGTTTTATCCGTTATAGGTATATGTATTACTCATTTCAATTTAATTTATTTTAAGGTTGAATCGTGTTTTTTTTCTTTTTTTGGAGGTTTTTTATTATAATTTTGGGGAAAAATACATGGGTCTTGTGAGTTTATTTTGTGTTTTGTGTCTAAAAATGAACATACTTTCCTAAATTAAAACCTTAACTATATTTTAAAGAACGTTATTCTTCATTCTCCGCCCACCACTTCCTACATTTCAAACGTCACCTTTCAGTTGCTTAAAATTATTAAAGAAATTTGAGTTATTATCTATGTTTAAACCAAGAAAATTCCCAATTTTTTTATTAATTTATATTTAAAGTCAATGCAATGTTGACTTGACTTAAGTTTTGGTTGACTTTAGCTTATGCTAGATCTGATCAAAGTCATGAAAATTTATATTTTAATCCTTGGAAGCCAAAAATAAAAAACAACAATTAAAAGAAAGTTTTGTTCAAGGTTTACTCAACATATTTACTTAAAATTTTGTTTCTCATAGATTTATTCATGTAGAAAAATATTGTGTTATTGCATTATTTTCTCTCAGGTTTTTGATATTATATTATTTTCTTTGCTTAAGGTTTAGTGATTTTTTAAAGTTTTCACTAGTTGTTTGGCAAATAATGGCAGAGCCGCGGAGGCCTTCCTTAGGCAAAAATCCTAGATCCACTACTCCAGAGTGTACAAGTCTACAATCTCCGATACATTGATTCGCATAATTTTGAGCATAGGTAGCCACCATGTTGTCCCAAGTCATCGGTCCAACATTAACTTGTACACGAGCTGCCTAGTGAGCATTGACGTAGTCCTGTTGCGAGTTTTGTGCATGGGATGGAAGGACCAGGGCTAGGGCTAACCCCATGACACACAAAAGAGTTAGTGAAAGCTTAGAAGATAGCATTTTGGGTTCGCTCACAAGTCATGACACTATTACCTTATAACGCAATTGAAAATTAAGTTTTTCTAATTAATAATTTCGAGGAAATCACCCCACTCGAACCGTTGCTGGCCATGTTCCAAAAGCTGACTCTGTTTAAGAAACTGCAATGTTTAGCCCGCAAAAGTTCAAGTNAAAAAAAAAAAAAAAAAAAAAAAATAGTTAAACCCACCTAAAAAGTTAGGATTAATGCTATGGAATTGCTTAAAGTTAAATGACCTTAATATTTATTTATTTATAATGTCAGCAATATCTCATCACTATTATTCAATAATCTTTATAATATAATGATTTTCATTTTTACTAATTAACATAGAAAATTAATATTACTAATTAATTAAGTAAATAAATGAAAAAAATATATTTTTACACTTGAACTAATAAATAATTGAGTAAAGATTTTGACTTAACTAAATTTTAATTTATAAAAATTAATTAAGAAATAAACTATTTAAGGGTATTTTCATCTTTTCAGTTAAATATTAACAAAAAAAACACTAATAGGGCTTAACGAATGGTGGGAAGTCGTCATTTTGAAACTTGATGGGTGGGAAAGTGTCGTTTCGCCAAACCTTGGGCGGGAAATGTTAGTCTCCAAAAAAAAAAAAAAAAAAAAGGCTTTAATTATAAGTTTAAGTTCATACTTAATAAATGTTATTATATATTTTGGAAATCTTGTATCCATGCTATTAATTAACACGTACTTCATTAATTTAAATTATTTGATCGGAAATGATGCTTACAATTCGATGTCGGCTGGTCCTATGCATCCATTTGAAATGTTGGTGGGTTGATACAATTAATCCCAAAATTGGGTGTATATAATATAATAGAACTATAAAAGATATTTGAAAAAAAATAATAAAGTAAGAAAATGACCTTTTAGATTATCCTGTTTTGTTGTTCCTAATTATTGAGGATTATTCCTTTTTTTATTAAGTTGGTTGGTGCAAGTACTACTTGTTCTTAGTTATTAAGGATTATGCTATTTTTATTAAGTTGTACGAACTATAATATATTATTTATAAAAAAAAAAAAAATGCAGCTTGAAAGTTAAAATAATAAATATTTATCTAATGTAACTTAATTTTTTTTGGATATGATCCGCAGCCGTTTAGTTGATCATTCCCTGGACATCGATAATGAGATTAAATTATTATTATTATTATTATTTTTAATCTTTCTTTCTATTATATTATTGACATTTTCTCCTACTTTCCATGCTCTTCCTTATTTAATTTGATAGTTGTTGGTTGTCTTCGTATTGTCGAATTGAGTTAATTGTACAAATCGAGACTAACCCATTTTTATTTGATGGCTGATTTTGTTGCAGACATTATTCCAAAACTTGGTGAAAATTTTCCCAATTTCCAACTTTCCATGAGTTATTCATTAATGGAAATTGTGCACCACTTGAAATTTCAAACCCAAATTTATCCAAATCTCAAAGTGTAACTTATATTACTGGAACAAAGTGAATCAAACCCCAAATCTCAAGGATAAAGGTGTAAATTTTACCGTAAGAATAATTTTAAATCCACAATCCAATCTCACAATCTTCGACGTAACAGTTCGTCATTGATTAGTTTATAAAACATATCTCATCTGTCTATTTATGAATTACCAATAACGAGCTGTTATGTCAAAAATTATGAAAGAATGTTATAAGATTAGATTGTGAATATAATATTATTGATTCCAATAATTTGAATGTGATATTATGGCCTATTAGAGAGTAATTGTGGTTAGAAATGGATGATACAACACAGCGAAATGAACCAATAATGTAGAGCTAATCAATAAGAAGCAATTGGCGCTACTTTGTTTGACATAAAAGGTCAACCAATTTGGCATTAATCAGTTTGGATTAGGCCTCACCAACTTCATCTCCTCCTTTTACCTTCAATGCTCTCCAATAAATTTGTTATAACTTGTTTGAATTTATGAAATTCACCACAAAGAAAATTTGTGCCTGTAAAAATACATCTAGTTCTAGTATTTTAATTCTACAAAACATTCTAGTTTAGAGTTCACTCTATCACATATTCAATCTCTAATGAAGTTTTAATATGATTCCATTCTGTACCCTCAATTTTAGGGAGGTATATGTATGCTTTCAATCACTGTAGATGTGTTTTTATATTAAAAGCTGTAAATGAGATAGATTCAAGATTTGGAACTTCAAATTTCTTTCCCAAATTTATTAATTCCAGCTTTAAATTTTACAAATTTCCTGCTGCAATGAGAAAGTCGATTTGGGTACAAACAAATTTATTAATTAGGCTGGACACCTTCACAATGACAAGCTACTGATTAAATTTTTTCTGGATCAAAAGTTGAGCACCCTCAACCAGCCTCTTTATTATTTCTCCAGCAGGTAGGATTTCCTTGATGAGACCAGTGCCTTCGCCTGCATACATCGCCATGCTCTCAATATTGCCTGTTGTTGACGCATTAGGAACAGTACCTGCTAAACGGCGAACTTCTTTTTCCTGTGTAAGAACAAAACAAGTCGATCATAATGTGAGTATATTTTACTGCAGTTTGAGCAGCTCGAAACCACATATTCATGACTTAAATTGCATTGCAGCGCTTGGATAAAACTTAAAAACTAAAGTTAATGCTCACTGTGCCATGAATTGTTGAATGACCAATCACTGGTTGGTTTAGTTCATTTTCATCAGCAGGGATGGTTCCCAAATTATTAAAGAAAGGCGTCTGCAGAACGCGTTCTGGTGCAGGCCATCTTGCCCTGCCAAATACATCTGTATATTTCGTTTCATTGAGTTCAACCAACTTCCTCTTGTATGTAGGATGCGCGTAGCTTTCCAGACTTGCAACAAATCTGCAATTAACTTTCAGACTTAATTTTAGCCAATATACAAAAATATTACAGATACTATGAAAAAATACTGCAGACTTCAAAGCTTAAAATTACTGTGATTGCCTCAGCTAAGAAATCTACTAAGCTTTATCATACCATTATGTTTTTCACATCTGATTAAAAATTAAACAAAGTTAGTTGCTATAACATATGCATGTAACATTTACGTGGAAGTACTAATCTTTCAAAAGTTTGAATGATTGCCGACACATAATTTTAAGATAACTGAAAGGAGTTCAATATGTTCATGTAAGTTGAAAATTTTCTAACCTTGTGCCTAGGCAGACACCTTGAGCACCAAGTGCCAGAGCAGCAACATAACCACGAGCATCAGCAATTCCTCCTGCAGCGATCACAGGAATATCTCGATCGCCGACAAGATCAAAAACCCTTGGCAATAATGAAATTATACCATCCTAGAAAAAAGAATAAAGACCACAAGGATATATCCGTCAACCAGCTTGATCAAAACTTCAACCAACTACGTATCATACAATCAAGAGGCTGTGTCACTGTGACTTAAATAGAAGTAGAATATCACTTCATTCATCAAAGTAAAAGGCTGGTAATTGGTGCCCTTTGACCATCAAAAAATACAAATCTATTATATGCTTTTCCTTTCGTTAACCAAATGAGAAATCTAAATGTCAGAGCAAGAGTCAAGACAATCTATTTCCTATAAATTCAGACATAAAAAATGTAACAGATGCAAAATCAAATCAAATTGTAATTTATATCCTGCTGGTACCAGCTATTACTTTTCTCAATTTCATTGAAAATGGAAACACAATTAAACTTATGAAACCTAAAGGAATTCATACCTGACCAAGTACATGCCCTCCGGCTTCACGTCCTTGGACAATAATCGCATCTACACCTGCTTCAATTGTTTTTCTTGCTTCTTCGAAACTCCCGACCTCCAACCGAATTAAATTTATAGTTCATGAAATACGTCAGGAGAAAATCACAAGTACAAAACCGAATAGACTGATTGATACTCAAAATAAACTCTTCAAATGAGTACTTTCCTATTAACTACATATCAGGGCTATCACATTTATTGACAAAATGCCATATGAATTTCAATAAACAGATTTTGACTGATATATAAAAGCAGCTGCAACGCTCACTTGAGGAACAACTTTTACACCAGCACTATGAGCATCGTGTACGAGCTCCTTTGAACATTCACCCCATGAAATTTGCAAAACTGCAACTTTTTCTTTCAATATAGCCTTTATATTTTCTTCATGGGGGAATTCCAGAACAACACCAACCCCAAACGGTTTGTCCGTTAATGCTCTGGTTTTCCTTATTAGCTCCCTTAAGTAATCTGGTGATTCCTGATCAGAGAAAAGTTTGAGAAAATCAATAGAAGTGCTCGAAAATTAAACTAAAACACACCATACTCAACTCAAATAATTGCAAACAATAATTTGCGAGACACGATGAAGATATTAAAAAAGAAGAGAAAGAGTAGCTGAAGTACCCAATCAGGGGCTCTTAAGAGACCAAGCCCACCAGCATTAGCAACTGCAGCTACAAGCTCTGGACCTGAAATATCAGGTCCCAATGGCCCCTGAACAATTCCATATTCAAAACCCAGAATCCCTTTCCAACCCATTTATTATCTTTATCTTAATTCTCTCCGTCTCCGTCTCCGTCTCTCTTGTTCTCTTTTTATAGCCAATTAATATATTACTTGAGCTAAGTGGAGGTGAGCAACTCAATTTTCTCTACCCTAAGTAGAGGTGAGCAACTCAATTTTCTCTACTCGGTTGAAGCCTGCTACTTTTGTTTCTGTCTGAATATCATTTCAACACCTTAAATTTGGAGACATTGACCCATTGTTAGTCTCGTGGTTAGTCTTTGCCAAATTAAATTTAGGATTGCCTGACTTTGACTATTGAAATACCTATTTTTCTATTATTATGCAATATCATATCAATTTATTCAAAATTAATCTAAATCTCAATTTGTTTAACATATCAATTTATTCAAAATTAATCTAAATCTCAATTAGTTTAACAGTAAATGCTTTGCATAAAATTATGAAAATATCATTTGAACGTTAAAATTCATGTTTAAATTAAAAAAAAAAAATACATTTTTGGAAAATATTAAATACACACTTAATTTGGTTTTTTTTTTTATATTTTAGGGGTTTATAATAATTTTAAGAGGGCTTTTGATAATTTTAGGAAAATATATAATAAAATCGTTACCACCCTTGAAACTTAACTATTTATTAGGACAAATAAAATTTACCCTTAAAAAATATTTAAAACCTTGTTTCTTAAATTAGGGGTGACAAATGTTCATCCGTGAAACATAGAGTTAAAAATATAATAATAATGTTTTGTTTACAACTGAGTCATATAATTAGGTTATACAAACAGACAAAAATTACATAAAATTTATGTAAAATAATTACTCTGTCATTTATTTTTTATATATTTATATGACTCAGTTATACAACTCAATTGTAAGCATAAAATTGCTCAAAATATAATATTCGGACTCTATGTCTTTGTGTTTGCTGGCGTAAGCAAGGACGTCTGACATTTTGTTTTGGTTGCTTTACGTGCATTGGATAATTTTAACAAATATATTATAAATCAAAGAATTAATATATTAAAGTTATCCTGATTCCTGCATACACCCGCTAACATTGGGAACTAGGGGTGTTCAAAAGAACCTATTGGAACCGGAACTAGCGAGTACTCGGGGTTTGGTTCTGATTCCTACCCAGAACCGACCGTCAACGAGTAGGTTCCGGTTCCAAATTTTTGGAACCGTTACTGTGCGGTTCCGATTCCGGTTCCGGTAGTTAAGAACCGAAACCGAAACTAGGAACCGAGACTAATATAAAATAAAATTAAAAAATAAGAAGATAAATAAAAACTTTTGTAGAAAAAGTAATGTGAATACATTTATATTTATATTTCATAACATTTAAAGTAAGTTGGTTTGACTTTTGAGAATCTACCTTTACAAAGTAATGGAGTTTGTAATTTTGAATTTGTAATTTGTAATTTTATTTTTGTTAACAAGTGCCCAGTGAGGGGGGGTATTTGTAAGTTTTTAAGGGTTTTCTTGCCATTTTAAAAACTTTGGGGGGTTAGTAATTTTACAGGATACCCAGAACTGGAACTGGAACCGTTGTTACAGGTTTTGGTTCTGGGTACCTAGGAATCGGAACCGTTGGTTCTGGTTCTGGTTCCAAATTTCAAGGAACCATCGGTTCCGATTCCGGTTTCGATTCCTTCAAAAAATACAGGGTACCCAGAACCAAACACCCCTATTAGGAACGGTGAAAAGATGGTCAACTCTCATACATCTCTCTTCTCATTACGAATTATGAAATAATAACAGTACCTCTATGTTTTGAAAATTAACACTACCACCCCGAGTGTAATGTTAGTTTCAGTTTTCTAACTTTCTCATCTCATCGACTATCTTCGAATACTAATTTCATCCCTATGTTTATAACATTTATATGTTTATTTATCTAATTTGAAAACATTAAAAAAAAACAACATTTTCTATATTCATTAAATATACATGAATTTTTTTATACATCATACAATAAAAAAATATATTACAAAATTAACAACGTTAAAAAAATTAAAAGATTATAATCTTCTTTAAAATGGACGTAGGATTTGCACCTAACATATGAATCACTTTGAAAATATTTTCCTTGTACTATTGTTTGGTTTCTTATTTATCTGTTGATCCGGCATCAAAATCATGGGTTTCATACAAACTCTTATGTAGACCCCACCATGGATCTTACGTACTTCTCGTTGGTACATCAACATTTTGACAATAGAGCAAGGAGCTCTTCAAATTTTTCGATAGATCTTATTTCATTTACCAACATTTTGTTATCTGTGTTAACTTTGTTTACAAGTTTGTCATTGTAATAGTATATAAACTTACTTTTTACTCAAATTAGGGATCTGATTTTTTATTGATACTTTGTAAGTTGTACCTGTGCGTAAAGAAAACACAGATTGCAATACAAGAACAATGGACATAGGATTTGCACCTACCATCTGAATCACTTTAAAAATATTTTCCTTGTGTTGTTGTTTGGTTTCTTATTTGTCTATTGATCCATCATCAAAATCATGGGTTTCGTACAAACTTTTATGTAGACCCCACCATAGATCCTATGTACTTCTCGTTGGTGTAAATTACAATATCAACATTTTGACAATAGAGGAAGGCCCTCCACAGACCTCTTCAAATTTTCTGACAGATCTTATTCTATTTGCCAAGCTTGTTTGATATCCACCATGACTTGTGCCACCAGAGCCAACTCAAAGAACCAGGTTGTCACCAGCCAGGCCAAAGATGTTAGTAAACGACCCAGTTATGCAGCGGAAAAACAAAAACATAAACTCTATGGATCATTCCTTAGAACCAAGATCCGGGTACAAAAATCACAGTTTATATAAAATAATCAAATCTGCAGAAAAATCAGTTCAAGGTTTAAGAAACCATACCCACGTTTGGAGGCTTCACCAATATTGTCTCTGAACGTGTTTGCTACCGATCCAAGTGTAGGATCGAACCGTAGAGGTCCACACGAAGACAATCAACAAGAACCAATGAGGAATTTGCTAGATCCTCCTTGGCCTTAAGAAATCAAGAAGAAAACAAAAGGTATTTGATTTTGGCAAAAACCAAAAACTAGCGTGGGAGAGTATTTTTGGGGCTGGAGGTTTTCTCTTTTCAATGAAAAATCAAATAATAAAAATAACACTTATCATTTTCAACTAAAACCTTTTCTTTTATAGTGTTATTTTAGTTGTCCTATTCCCATATGGAATGGGCTTGGGCTCCAACCCAAACACCCCAAATTTGCCAAACACTCCCAATTAGATATTTTAATTTAATTCATCATTATCTCAATTAAAATCAATAATATTATTTCATATATATTATATATATATAATATATTATTACATTTAACAATAATGATATTTTATTTAAATATATCGAACACATATTTAAACGGAATTTCACTTATTTAATTTTTCTAACAAATTAAATAAGGCTACGACCTCAGCAAATTTAATTGCACTGTGAAATTACCAAAATACCCTTTCGCCCAAAAAGACGAAAACACCTTCTTTCTTCCTGAGTCTTAAATTATCTTCTATGTGTGTGACCTATAGGCTCCTCATCATACCGTAGTGTATAGTATCGCGATTAACACAAATTAATCGTCTCACTTATACACAGACCAAGATTGGCCCCTAGCAAGGCATCATGGCCACCCGATAGATTCGGATTCAGCAAAGTAGCTACCTGTCAACGATAGGGTTACCGTACAATTCGATCCTTCATCATACATTATCTCGACGAGATAAAAGGCATAGAAATAGTGTCAACCTTCGGTTACTCTCGATATTATGTATTCAGTTTCTGGACCAATGACCTGTATTGTAATCCAGATAGAGCACAAATCAATCTCACTGTGGCTACAGTTTTTGTCATTGCCTATACTGAATTGCGCCGGGAGATAACTTCTCCCGTACCCGGAGTGATGAATCCTCTTGTCTATCCACCATAGTCTTGATACCCTCCTTGATGCAGCCAATCACCACCGTATTGACGCTTTGAAAAGAACTGCGTTAGGCTAGTGTCAAACTGCACCAATCGATGCACAAGCGCTCCGGTGATCTCAGATCTAGGACACATGCACCACCATTCGTTAGAGGATTTGTTCCATAGACACTGGGGTTTATCATCCATAGGAATCCTTTGGTGGGTCATTCTAGTGAACTTGCTGCGGTATATCCGCCTACAACAAGCACCCATGTGTTGCACCAGGTTGTCACCAAACAACCTTGACAAGTGAGATCAGTCACTGCCTTTCGACAGGGTCGTTCAACACTATGATAGCCTTACCGTATTATCTGTGCCCTTACTTCAGAATAATACTAGTGGCTACAGACGTTTCTAGAATGGCCACCATATGTGCTCATAGGGTTCTCACTATCAAGATTTGAAACACTTGATACCCTCGTCACGGTTCTACCATTCTAAGGACATATATCAATACATATTGCAATAATAATGATTTACGCGATATAGAATAAAATGCCTTTTATTATTGATTAATGAACATTATTACAAAGAGTCAATTCTACAATAATTGATTGGCTCTAGAGCATCTACTCTAACAAAAGAGGTTTCTACAAGCCATCTAAGGGCAGTCTCTTATGAGTATACCCCACCAAGATCGGAAAATAGGCCAGTTGCCCCTCAAACAGATCCGCAAATAATGGACGCCATTGGGACGCTTACTTTCATGCTCTAGATGCTAGTACATCATTTGGATGTCGTCCTAGCGGTGGCATCAGGGACCTTGGCCCTAGACTAGTAGGGTGTTGTCCAGATGGTGGCAACAGGGACCCAACCGCCTTGGTCACAATCACGATGCATTTAGGCATGGGATCCCAAGCTCTCCCAGTCTTGTTGCCAATAACCCATGCCGAAAGCTCGCTCGCGTTGTTAATAACCAGCATGCTAAGCATAACTCACATTGCGAAAACACTAGCAATCCAAAGCTCGCTTGTGGTACCGATAACTGGCGCGTTGAGTATAACTCACACCGCAAAGGCACCCGCAAACAATGTGCTGATGATAGCCCACCTCGCATTGACAATTTGGTATTCTCAAGCAACAACATGCGTCCAAGCGTGTTCAAGAGAATGGGA